CTCAGAGACTAGTTCAGTGTTTCTCATTCATCAGGACCTTTTTTATTTCAAATGACTTGAATGCAGGTAGACTTGGAGCCCAACTGTGAGATAGCAGAGTTTGGTCTCAGCCTTCAAAGTGATGGAGTTAGAATCAGATCAGTTAGCATCAGCTTTTCTGACCCTCCTGGGTCAGCATCCTGCTACCGCACCACAGGCTGTCTTGTCCACTTGGTAAGGGCCAGGGTCTCCAGCGACTCCCAGAATTCCCTGCACAGCGTTGTCTCTTAGTGAAGGTTAATGATCTTAAGGAACAGCTCTGGGTGGCTGGTTCCTTAGAGGGACAAATCCAATGTAAAATACTGCCCATGTCTGATTACACAGTGGAGTTATGAGGTAGGTAAGCTAGAGGGAGGAGAATCCTGCATGCCAGAGAGCAGGGGGATCCTGGAACAGTCCACAGTATCAGAGGCCTGGAAATTCACTTCTGAGTCACCCGTGGGAGTCCATGTGAGAAAACTAAAGCATCTGACTTCATCTGAAGGCTGAGGCATCTGTACTGGAGGACTGAAGTAACTGGAAATGTCCCAAGAAAAGAGTGAAAGTTGGAGCTTCTCTGAGTGAGAGGGGAAGACTTCCTTCTTTTTTCTCTCTTTATTTAATCCATGCTGCAGGTCTGTTGGTTGGTGCCACTCATATCCAGCATCTCCTAAGTTTCTTGTCTTCACATTTACTGTCCACAGGCACTTCCAGAGTTTACCATTATGCTGTACCATTCATACCGAAGTCAAGCTGTCAGGTCACAATCAGTGGTCACAGCTTCTCTGGGTCCTGTGCAGGATGAATGGGGTGGTAGACAGGGAGCATGGGAGAGCACAGTTGTCTCCCTGAAGACACAGGGAAGAAGGCTTGGCAGACAAGGGTGCTGCTTCCTGGAGAAAGAGACCTCACCGAGAACTGGTGCCTGGTGCTTTCCGGATTTTGTCCTTTCTGCTTCTGTTGGGCTAAGCTGATCTTTATTTCCGCATCAGTGACATCTGAGACAGTTAATTTTGGTTGCATTTGAGCTGTCACCTTCTGAGTTCAGCAAGAACACACATGTGTCAGGTAATAATCCTTCTCAGCCCCGTGAACCAGTTAAGGCTCCTAACAGGCTGAGCCATTAACACGCCACTGCTTTCCCGACCACATGATCCGCCAGCTGCCGAGCTCCCCCATTGGTATTCACCCAGTAAAGCTGATCTGCATAAGCTTCTTTGGTCTGCAAGGACATCATTTTAATCGTAAGGATTAAACAAAGTTAAAGTAAGTTTAATATCTTTGCAGACATGTACTTTGCCTTTGTCTTCCCAGGCTGGGCTAATACGAGGGTCTTCTGTTCTTGATTGTGGGGATATACAGTTTTGAAGCCCCCTCAGTCAGCTGCAAACCCTCATGGAAGCCTGGAAAGATTCAGTGGGTTAATTTAGGCATCCAAGAGACTAACAAGGAAAGCAAGCAATAAAACTCCAGACAGAAGGGAGGAAGCTAGCAAACAATAAAAAATGGCAGGAAGGTTCCCAACCCATCTGTAAGCCATTAGAATGTCGTGAACCGCTTTTCCAGGGTATTTTCCTGGTGTTGTTTCTAGCTTCTGTGCTTGTTAGGAAGAGTCCGATTGGGAATGAGGGTATCACAGTTGAATAAATGGGCTTCTCGGAGGCACGACTGGCCCTGAGAGTTTCTTTGAAGGGTCCGTGTGGTATTACTAGTAAAATTACATGTAAGAACAACCAATAGCTAATGTGTGTATGCCCTAAGCTAAGTTTCATAAAACTGACTTTCTAGACATGAAATGTATTTAAAATGAGAAATAAGGCACTGAGGAAACTTGGTGAGAAACTTTTAAGTTTTACACGAATTCTTTCCCATTGACAGGGTAAAAGTGTTAAATAGTCTAGATCTCAATTAACAGTATGAGGGAAAAGTCTTTTAAAAAATTTCTGGTCCAGAAATAACGTGTTTTGACTGGTGGATCCTATAATTCCTGGCCTAAAATCAGGGGATTAAATATGCAAACTGGAAAACTCACCCAAGTTACTTAGCTACTAGCAAATCCAGCTGGAGTCATTAAGGAATATTGGATCAAGCTTGCAGTTCATAATGAGGAGACTGAACTTACATTGTCTAAATTATTAAGAGAAAGGTCTTTTAAATTAGAAAACATGTCCATTTTGGAAAAGAGTTAAATTATGGGATATTATTATCAAGCAAGCTATTCATAAGAAGAAGGTGAAATTATTTTTCATTCCTATTTAAAAACAGCATGACTATTTAAATCTTACAATCTATCCTCTGGGAGAAGTGAAGTATAGGGTCATCTTTAAAATGGAAAGAAACAGGAATAATTCTAAAGCCTGATAAAAATGATACAGAAAAAGACAGAGAGGGAGGGACAGAAAGAGGGAGGGAAAGACACAGAGGATTTCCCAGAAGGCAGATAATACACTGCATCAGTTCCCCGCTTGCTCTGTCTGGCACGTTCTGACATTTTGGTTGGAGAATACCTTCCTTCCCAGCTTCTGGCAGGAAAAGCACAAACTCAAACTTTGGACTTGATATTCTGCTCAACTCTGGCACATGAGTGTGACAGGAGAGTGTGTTTCTGCTTAGGGCGGGTGAGTGACCCTTTCTGATCCACCATCGCCTCACCTATAAAAGAGGGGACCCCAGGATGGCTGAGCTGATTAGTAAAGGAAACATATGCCCAGTATTGGGCCAAGAAGTTTCCCATAAATGTGTTGGGATGAATTCTGCAATGACAATTCCTGTGAGTCAGACTCCATCTGGACCCAGGACACCACTGGCTTCAGGGAGCTGCCACGGGTATTTTTGTGTTGGATCTCAGCTGGGAAGACTGTTTCTCTCTGCCAAGGTCCAGATCCACGGCTGCTTCCCATTGCCTGCGGAGAGTCTGAAGGGATGGCATGGAGGCTGTTTTTCATCTTAGCTGTTTCCATCCAGCTCTGCTGGATTGGGAACATGTTCTTCTCCAGCCACCTGTCAGGAGAAAGCCGGTGCCAGAGTAGAGGGTCTGCTTTCTGCTCCCACCTGAGCCAGCCATCAGCTGTTTGCTGTTCCCTCACCTGCAAGGCTTTGGGCCAGACTCACAGAGGACTGGCACTGGCGAGGTGAGAAGACAGGAAGAGCATCTGGTCTCAGGAAAGTTCGCTGCCTTGGCATCAGAGCCATGCCACTCCTGTCCACTTTCCAGCCAGCCCTGTCCTTGTTCCCTATTGGAGTTAGGGCTGCAAATGCTGCTTCTCTTTGACCTGGCTTACAGCTGCAGTCCTCACAGTCTGTGTTTGGTCTCTGTATTTCTTGCTGTATTGAATGTGATTTCTTGTTCAGCCTTGTGACTTGGACCTAGATATCTCCCATCCTCCACATCCTCATGTTGTCATAGGTGGGAGTTTAGAAGGTGGCTGGATTAGGCTGTGTGAATGTGGATTAAGTGTGTAATGCTGGGATTAAGAGGGTAGATAATGGAAGCCCCTCCCTGGGTTCGGGTGGCATCAATCAGTAGGTTTACTGACTGGGCAGAATATAAAGGGAGAAGGGAGTGCAGGACTGCTGCCGCTTTCACTGCTTGCTGCTGCTGCTTCTGCCTGCCCTGCCATGAACTGTTTCTCCTCTGTGATGCCCCTCTGCCATGCTGCCCTGCCTTGGAACGGGTTATGGACTGTGAAACCTCTACAAAGTGAGCTGGAATAAACTTTTCCTCCTTTAACTTTGGCTGTCAGGTATTTTGTCTCAGCAATGAGAAAACTAGCTAAGATGACCTCTGAATCTTTGCTGCCTCTTTCTTTCTGCTGCTGCTTGCTTGCTTCAGGGCTTTTCTCATTCTTGGAGAGCAAGTTAGAACCAGTTAAAACCCAGTAGTGACGTAGTGAGTGTGTTATGGCTGAATTCTATGCGAGTCTAGCCCAGCCCTGCCTTTAAATTCTACTTCAGCTGGGGTGCTAGGTATATCATTTAACACCTGTGAGGCCAAGTTCTTTCACAAGTAAATTTACAAAAACCTGCTATTTGTCAAAGAGGCCTCTCCTTGTTTTCTATTCCTTTTATTTTTTAAAAAATTATTTATACTTTGGACTTCTCATGTAAGAGAAATTACATAACATTTAAACTGTGTTTCTAATTTATTTCACTCAACATTATAGTCCGAAGGTGCATCCATTCTACAAATGATTCAAATCTATCCTCCTTCATGGCAGAGTAGTATTCTATTGTATATAAGTAATACATTTTTCTTTCTCTATTCTGTTAAGTGCATGTATCTAACTCCTACAACAAATGTAAACATTATATACTGCAATCATATTTTAATACAGAAGTTTAAATTTAAATCTGTCATAAATGCTCCTTGCTTGTGGTAGGAGCAATAAATGATCATGATGGACCATCAGAAAAATAGGAACAGTAGGAGAGACAGATAAACAGACATGCCGAATTACTGCAAGGAACTGTCTCATGCAATTGTGGAGGCTGAGAAGGCCCAAGAACATTTGTGAGAAGACCTGAGACGCAAGAGTTCACAGCATAAGTTCAAGTCCAAATCTGAATGTGGAAGATCACTGTTTGGCAGAGAGAGCAAAGTGTCTCTTGTTCAAACTTTTGTCCTATTTAGACTTCACCAGATTGGATGAGGCTCACCCACACAATGGTAAACCATCTACTCAGGCTGCTGACTCAGATGTTAATCCTGTCTAGAAACATGCTCAGAAACACCCTGATGTGTGCCCAGCTATCTGGGCATCCCATGACGTACTGAAGTTGACACGTGAAATTAACCTTCACAGTGGGGGATTAGATTAGTGATGGATAAAATCTCAATCACTGCAACTGCACAGTGAAACAACTGTGTACCTATCCCAGTGAAATCAGGATCTGTATGCGAACCATTGGCTGGCTGGATGGGGAAGGCCACCATTTCCTGGGCAGCTCATTCAAGGGAAGGTTTCTTTCTGTTACTATCAGGTCAGCCTTAGATACTGATCTGGAAATGTGTGTGTCTTCCTTGTACGGGGACCATGCTAATCTCTGTATTGTTCTAGTTTTAGTCTACGTGCTGCTAAAGTGAGCACAGGCCTTCAGAGGGAGCAGCCTGGTGAGTTTCAACCTTGTGACTGATGTGACAGAGTCAGGGTTTCAAGGCAGAAAGTTCAGTCAACAAGCCAGCCACAGAGCACAGTGAAGCAGGCTCAAAGCCAACTACCAAGGATGTCACAGACACATCTAGGCACACGCCGTAATTCAGCACTCTGTGAAGTTGAGGCAGGAACATTATAAATTCAAGTCCAATCTTGGCAATCAATCCATCCATCAATAAGTTTATTTTTGCTGTAACATTCTCATAGATAATAAGTGGGCCAATTAACCTCATTTGAGCATTTTATTCAATAAGATTTTATTCAATAAGATTACTTACATATGAGAAATTGAATCATGCATATCAAATTTTCCTTTATTGTAGAATGCAGCTGGAATGAAAATCAAGATTTCCACTTTCCATAACTCAGAGTCTTCTTTCGTCTGGTGCTATTTCATCCAAATACCTGGAATACCTACAGAGCCTCACTGGAGCTCCAGGGGGTGGGGCCATTCTGAGCAAATCCACCCCTAAGCACAAAGAACCAACCTCATGTTTCTTCCTCAGACTGTTTTCAACTCTGTTCTCTCTTCCTGCCTCTGAACTCTTAGCAATAGGATATAGATTGTATAATACAGCTGATTACAAAGAAGCCCACCAAGCCAAGCATTTAATATTGAGTTATTACCCAAGCCTGACTTTTAGAAATAGACATTGATCCTGCCCCTGGACATGGGATTGGAGGAACAGTGGGATTTTCTGTGCAGAGAGAAGACCATGTTCTCTAGTTCTCTGTACCTTGAGGGCACAGGGACCAGACCCTCATTTAGCCCCAGGTTGCTCTCTGAGGGAGGCGACTGTGCAGTCCTAGGAAGCGAAAGGTGATCTCGCCAAGCCTACTTCTCATGATAATCTCTTTCAAAATTAACACTGATAAAGGTCTCCAAAAGCTATCAAGGCAACTTTATGACAGAGATGAATGTAAGCAATACCCTGTTAAGTATATCCATTAATCATCATTTTTAGAATTTTTTTCCACAAGTACATTTTTTCTTTATTTTCCAGTTATAGTGTGCCTTTGAACAAAGTTATTTGCTTAACTATTGAAGTGGAAATATAGGCTTTTAACCCTGTCTTATGGATTCAGCCTCAAGTGCTAAAGGAATTCAGCACATCTCAGAATACAGGCTAGAAAACCTGCTATTCCTACAGGGATTGAGTAAGTCCCAGTATCACATAAGAATTATTAAAAGGCATTTAATAGGCAGCCACCTGCATACTGTGTTTTGTGCACAGTGGTCACACAGGAAGTAATGTATTTGCACTCGGGGAATGGATGCTTATTCTGCCTCTGGAAACCTAGCAGAAGATGAGGTTGATGGTCCAGTAAGGAGTTTGGTTGGAGTCAGAGCAGTATTGCTTAATAATGCCGTGCAAGAATATTGTTTTAGTTTCTCCGGATTTGCATTCTTGTTCCCAATTTGCATTCCTGTTGAGCTATCTAGCTGAGCCATATTTTGGTTTAGAATGCCAAAATAAGTAAAATGTGTAGATGTTAGTGCGTGTGTGTGTGTGTGTGTGTGTGTGTGTGTTTGTGTGTGTGTGAATGCATCTCTGTGTGCATGTGTGGATATGGCTACCCATCTGGGCGTGCCATACACACCAGCCATAATGTACAAAGTACCACACAGTGATTGTCTGCCATCGTTTTAGCTCTGCAGGTCTCAGACACCACAGTGCGTGACTAGGAATCCACAAAACTCCCTGAGTCTGGAGATGGTTTCCATTAAGATGGGTCCACATGGTCCTTGAGCTGTCACATCCTCTTCTTTCCCTCTGGGCTTATTCCCTGCCGCTCTTGCCTTTAAACTCCGGGCTACAGTTTCTGTGAGTTTGGCTCCTGGCCCACCAGGAAGCACAGAGGAGCTGCACAGTGCTGGCCCCCTGTGCAGATCATCTCGGCTCCTCCGGGTGTTGGTGCAGGATACCTGTCAGGCTGACCTGTTTCCAGGCTCACTGCCACGTCCTTTCTCCCCCACTTGGTTGTGCTGGGGATCCAGCCCAGGTTGTGTGAGACAAGTGCGCCACCACTGAGCTACACTCCCAGCCCTGGCTGCAGCATCTTAACCGCTAAAACCTCTGTGTTCTTATGGCTCCTTCCAGTGATATGCCGTTTGTTTGCTTCTGGCTCAATGCCTCTGCAGTGCAGAACTGTCTGGTGAGAGACTTGGACTGCTTCGCCATCCAGGGGCTCAGGGCCTGCAATTGCATGTTGTCTGACTCCCTCTCCTGCGCAGCTTCCCCAGGCCTGGGACCCCACGCTTGCAAGGCACTACAGAGGTGAGGCAGAGCTCCTCCAGGTGGGTTATTTGTCCACACAAAACTTAACTCCAGATTCCCAAAGGCACAGATCATACCGATTACGAAACAGACTTTCCCTGATTCATTGTGGCTTTTAAAACAGACACATCTGGGCATTGTACAGAGTTTTGTTGGCCAGATTGAGGTTGAGAAGGTGATGTCATGAATTCTGATGTGAGCACCAGGGACAACTTACCCTATAAAATAATCCGAAAGCAGTTCTGTGGCTCTAGCACTGCATATCGCTCAAACTTCCCACCCTATGTATTCCTTTGTCCTAACACATTGAAATTCTCTGATAAAATGCAAATATTAGCTGGGAGGGCTCCGAGTGTGAAGGAGTATGCCAGACCAACTGGCAGCTAATTGGGCTCCAGCCCTTCCCACTAATGTGACCTTGCTAGAGAAGCATAGGATATTAGAAATGGAGAGAACTTACAGGCACACGGTAGCTCTCTCCCCAGAGAATGAAGTCCCCAAAGTCTCCTGGAACATTTGCAGTGACAAAAAGCACCAAGTGGCAACAATATTCATTTAAGTGTTGTTATTTTCTTGAGTCCATGTCTGCTTTCTGGTCCTTTTCACATAATCTTCGCAGACACAACCAAAGTCCCTTGAGCATTTTCTTTTTTTTGCACACTTTGCCACCTGCCCTCCCTGCCCTGTATGCTCATTTCCGAATAATGGAAAGCAATTAGAATATCCTCCGTGCCCCTGTCAGTGCCCTACACAGCCTGCAAGAGGGCAGAGCTTCACCTCCTGATGAATGAGAGACACTTCATGTTTTCATTTCTCCCTAGATAAAATCGATTAAAGCCCCCAAACAGCCCCCTGGGATGCTGTTATTTAAGTCTCTCTTCTTTCCTTCTAGAAGGCAGCAGATTCTGAACCTTCTTCCTGCAAGAAATTAAACTTATTTTGAATGCTTTCTTCTCACTTGATGTTGGGCAAGTGACAAACACCTTGGGATCAGTCTTCTCATCTGCAAAGTGACAATGTTTGCACCTCTTCTGTCCACTGCTCATCCTGCTATGAAAGTGAAGAGGAGAGACATGTGTATCCCACACACTGCCAAGGGTGCAGACCATGAGAGCAGGTACACTGCTGCCTCTGCAAAGTGTGTGATGTGCAGGGTGCAGGGCCTGACTTCACTGTTGGCTCTGAATCATTGGTGGAAACTTCCAGAAATGCTATTATGACAGATTTTCTGAGGATTTATTTGGACTGAGCTAGAAAGTGATCTCTGATTGATTTGTAACATCTATCTTTGTGTGTGTGTGTGTGTGAGTATGTACATGTGCATGCATGCACGAAAGTGCATAATATCATTTTCGACACAGATCAGTCACACCCGTGTAGGAAATGTTATCATTTTTAATTCATTAACATTTGAATACATATTAATCACCCAGCCTGTGTAAGAAGGCTGGTACACTGTGATGAGAAAGAATAGGGGAGGCCTTAGGTATTGTGTGGTGAAGGTGACTGTCAGCCCTGTCACTGCATGGGGGAAGAGAGGCCAGGATCCATTCACTTGCCTCTCAAATTTGATCCTGGGAACACTTCTAGAGAAAAAACTTGGGTGAGTGTGAGCCCTGTGCACTGCTCTGTGAGAATTTAGACCAGGCTGCAGACTCTGACGCCCACAGGGATCCTGAGTCACGTCAAAGGGGACCAACACAGGCTCACAGCTGTAGGGAGGGTGTGGAGTTGGGTGACCTACAAGTAAATGCCCGATGCAAAGGTAGCAATCAGGCCCCGGCTTTAGGCACTTTCTGCCAAATGTGAAAACAGTTCTGTGTTGCCAGAACAGTCTCTTTTTATAGACAAATTGAAAATCTGGCATTTTGTGTAAAATATTCCATCAAAAATGTTGACTCAATTAAAAAAATAACTGTGGATTCAGCAAAACACATCTGTGTGCCAGGTTCAGCCTCCCATTGTCAATTTGAGACCTCTGTTCCTGATGCCACGAGAAGCGGAAAAATCAACTGTTGTTGACAAATGCTTCCATATGTGCCTTGAGATGTCACTGATTCAGACCCACAGTTACTGCCCACCAGAGACTCCTGTGAGCAGACAAGGATTTGGCCTATGGAAATCTCAGAGGGGATACTGAGGTATGTAATTAAGATGGAAATAGTGAATTCCATGAGAGAAGAGCAATACCAAATCCCTGAGAAGTTTTGAGAGGGAACCCAGAGTGGTTGTTGGGTAGAAATTGGTAATGGCACAGGTAGTGCAGTTTCTCAACAGATTGGATGCAGTGATAAATAATTCACCTGTATTATAATGAAGAAATGGGAGAATAGAGAACAGGGAGGTGTGGAGAAGAGAGGTTAGCAAGGAGCTCATGAGGTTATTTTGAACTCAAGGGGAGACAGAGGGAGAGAGGAGGAAGAAGACAGGAGAGAGAGAGAGAGAGAGAGAGAGGGATACAAGCTTAGTAGGCAGCTGTAGGAGTCCTGGGTGACCATGGAGGTGATATGGCGTGAGGATGGGATTCCGGATGTGGGTGGGAGAGATGAGGGATGAGAGGAAGGTGAGGGAGAAAAACAGAGTTATATGGGAGCTGATCCTTAGAAAGTATTCATGCTCAGGGGATAAGAACAAAAGGAATGGATCCCTCTAGAT